GGTAGTCAGCCTGGCCTTGTGCGGGGGAAGAGAATACTGCTTGCCTGGCCCCAAGTCATGACCCCCACATCTACTCTCAGGGAAGTGGGGTTCAGCCTGGGGGCTCCCCTGACAGGCCCGCCTTGTTGGGGCTCTGCCCCTGCCCTGTACTCTCCAGGCCGGAGCCTGTTCAGGCTGGGGAGGCCCACTTCTCCACCCACTCTCTGGCCACACTCTGGCCATCTGGAAAAGCCGGTGGGCCACCTTTCCTGGTGCAGGGGGCCCTGCTCAGGCTGTCCTCCCTGACTGCCCATACATCCCACAGTTGGGGAAACCATGGCAACATTAACAGAGGTGGTCCTGACCTCCTCAGCCCCTCTGCAGGGAGCCCTGGGTCTTTACTGCTTGAGAAGCTCTGTCAGAGCCAATGGGCCACTCCCCGCGTGAAAGAGCCTGTATGGAGGTGTTGTTACGGTGCCTGTTAGTTACAATCACAGTGATAACAGTCCCAGCAAGTGCGTAGTGAGCACCTACTATGTGCCAGCTGCCATGCTAAGTTCTCCATGCTCCTTAGCACACTTTGTCCTCACAGCAAGTCCTGAGCGAGTGCCGCAGAATGCCAGGGATTACGTGACCTGCTCTGAGTGGCAGAACTGGGCATGACCCTCGGGTGCCTGACTCGAAGCCTCAGCTTTTAAGCCCCTTGTCGCCCTGGTGCTGTCACCTCGCTGATAATCTGTGTTTATAGATGACCACGCCAAGCCTCCAAGAGGGAGCCGAGCACCCACAGCTCGTGCATGGCAGAACCAGGATTCCAGCCGGGCTCCCCCTGACCGCTCGGCCTGCCTCCCTACAGCACATTCGGGGAGTGGGTGGGGGAGGCGCGGGGGAGGCCCGTCTTTTGTTCTGTGCTGGATTCTTCCTCACAGAATACTGTGCCTCCTCAGAGCACCGAGCTAGGTCAGGGGCGGCTCCCCCAGGAACGCGCGTGGCCAGAAGCAGCTTCGCAGGCTCCTGCTGTCCCTGCCGGGACAGGAACTGTCTACCTGTGTATTCGGGGAAGCAGATGGTTAGCGGGGACTTCTTGATCTTCTCTTCAAATATGTCCTTCTTGTTAAGGAACAGGATGACGGACGTGTCTGTGAACCATTTGTTGTTGCAGATGCTGTCGAAAAGCTTCAGGGACTCGTGCATGCGGTTCTGCAACAGAGCGGAGAGGCAGGTGAGGGCTGGCAGTGCCCGGGGCCCCTGCTCCCTGCGGCCACCGACACAGCGCACCAAGCAAAGGAAAGGCCCGCCGACGTGGCCGACCACGCCACCAAGGGATGGAGATGGGAGAACCCGCAGGACAAACGGGACACGCTCCTCACTTCATTCCACACGCAGGCAGGCTGGGGCAGAACAGGGTGGGCAGGGCGGGCGGGGAATGCTGCCCACCCTCCCCACCCCTGCGGAGGGCCGCCCTGGGATGGGGCAGCGAAGTCCCCCCGAGGGGCTCCAGCCCATGGAGAGGACATGCACCATGCACGCAGGGGGCGGGGGCAGCACCACCATCCAACACGTCTACACGGAACCACGGGCCATGCAGAGTTCTCTACCGGGGTCTCATTCGGTTTCACCAGCGGGGGTGGGAGGGTGCACGCATTCCTTTGGGAAACATTAACCGAGGACGAGGAGATCCTCGAATTAATCCAGAGTTGGAAGCAGACACCAGGGGGACAGCGTCTGGGGGGTGATCTTGCTGTGGCCTTGGTGCAGTTGGGGGATCGAGTTGGTTGGCTGGGCCGCGGCTGGGCCGGCGGCGGCTCTGGGTGAGCTAGTTGTTGGGGCTGGTTTCTCAGTAGAGTGGCCAGAAGAACCCCAAGAAGAAACCCAGCAAAGCAGATTAACATGGAAAGGAAGATAAAACCCCAGAACACAGGAGGAAAAGAGAGAGGAAAAAACTGAAATATTGGTTCCGCCAGTTTTGGGTCCGGGGAGTCAAGGCCAGCCCATCCTGAGGCCCCCACGCAGGCCGGCGGAGGCCACGGTCGCCCGGGACCGAGGACGAGGACTGAGGACGGCGAGGGTGGGGAGGCGGGAGTGGGCGGGGCAGGCAGTCACAGCAAGTCACCCGGCGGGGCCCTGACAACCTGGTGCTTTCAACTCTTAACTGATGGTTTCGGTTGGAGGGAGGCGCTTCATACCTGCCCAGCTTGGAGCGTCTCTCAGAATCTGCGCATGGTTTTGGCCTTGGTTTGGCAAGTTAAGGCTGTGCAGGCGGCGGTGACGACAGAGCCTGAAGAAGCGGTGGCAGACCGAGGCCCGGGGCCACCGGAGCCACCGGCCTGGGGTATGAGGACAGGATGAAACCCTCGGGCCGCGGAGCTGCAGTGGGCGGGGCGGCTGGCCGGCGGGGGCGGGGGGGGGGGGGGGGGGGGGGGGGGAGGGGTGGAAGCCCTGAGCCCCCGGCCCCTGGCCAGGCTGCAGGAGCCGTCTGCAGACTCCTCTGTCCCGGCAGGCCCCACTCCTGCCCAGGCCAGGAGGGACGTGCGGGCTGACCACAGAGGAGGACCAAGGACCGGTCAGCAGGGTCGAGCTTTTGCCTCCCGGGGCGGAGTGTCCTTGTCCCATAGCTTGTCCTTTCGCCACATGCTTGGATGGAGCAGCCCGGCCACGGCCGCCTCCTGAGCGCAGAGTCGGGCGTGCAGTGGGCCTCACCGCTGCCCACAAGGCTGCTCGGCCACGGGGCCATCTTACGAAGGAGGAAGGGAGAGGCTGCCCACGCTCCCCCAGGGGCAGGGCCAGCGCCGTCTGGCTCCCCAGCTGCCCAGTGCTGCCGTGTCCTGGGCACACGGACATTTGCTTAGTTCCCTGGCCATGGTATTGTTCTTGCTGTGCCCGTGCCAATGAGCCGCCTTCGTGAGCGGTGGTCATGTCGTGAAGCCTGTTCCCGGAGGAGCCGCTGCTCTTCCCAGGGGGCACGGGCGGCCTGCTTTGGGGCGGAAAGGGCTCCAGGAAAAGCCCATTCCTGGCCTTGGCTTCCACAAGGTCCTGTGCTTCAGCCCTTGTGCGCCGAGGGCCGGGGAAATGGGGCAGGAAGAGAGGGGAGAGAGGGTGCAAGAGGGACAGTGAAGACAAGAAGGAAAGGAGGCCCAGGGGCCTGGGGAGAGAGGCTCCCAGAAGCTGTGCTGCCCTCAGGAGCCGGGCTGGTGAGGAGCTCCGGGAGCTCCGGGCGGGCCAGGCCGGGCCAGGGCGGGCAGGCTGCGAGGGCTTCGCGAGCACAAGGCCTGGCACCTAACCAGCCCGCGTTCACGGGTGAGCTGAGGGCCAAGGAGCTGGGGGCCCGGTGGTTGCCAGACCCACACAGATGTCCCTTTGCTTCACCCTGGCGCTCCAGAGGCGAGCGAGAGGCCCAGCCCCGTGGCTTTGGAGCCTGGGACTTGGGTTTAAGCTGCTCGCAGGCCCGGGAGGGCAGGTCACAGGGGAGAGGCAAATTCAGGGAGAGGGGCCCTCCTGCCCTCCAGCTCTCTGCTTTCTTTGCAACCCGTGGCTGGGCTAGCATCGCGTTCACTGCCCAGCCCTGCTTCTTACTCCCAGGCTTTGGAGGGAGAAAAGATGAGCCAAGTGGATTCCAGACCATGTGGGTGGATTCCACTGGACAGTGAATAGCAGCTTCAAAAGCATAGAGTCAACCGGCGGAACAGTGAGAGGTGTGCCAGGGCCGTCCCTGTGCAGGGGTGCCTGGTGGGGGGCGGCCAGCGAGTCCGGGTCCAAGCGCAGCCCAGTGTGGGCTTCTACCCGCCTCCCGGCTCCAGGGACCCGAGACGCCACAGCCTGCCGAGGCCACTGAGAGTGACAGCATTACCAGAACGAGCTCCCAGCCAGGGTCCCAGGAACCTCACCCCCGGACAAGGCAGGCCTTAGGGGGCTCTGCTGGAACCCAACTCAGGGGTGCAGCTGGCCCCGAAGGAGGAAGGGCGAGGCGGACAAACCAGCATGGGGTTCACCCCGCCCACGCCTCCTGCCGACGGCTCCAGTCCCCTCTGCCAAAAGCCCCGCCCCTGCGCCAGTCCCTCATCCCATGGCGCAGGGCATCCCAGCCCGCAGCCCATCGGACGCGCCCGGCAGCGCTGCGGGACCAGCAGGCCAGGACGGAGGCGGAGAGAGGCCACTGTGCTCGGGGCCTGCTGTGACGACACACTGCTTCAAGCTCTCAGCGCTGACTTGGAGAGGCTGGAGGCCCAGGGTCTGTGTGTGCGTCCCACACAAGGGGCTGACCCCACAGCCAGGACCCCGTGATCCCCAGGAGGTGCCGCGGGCTCGTCTCTAGGGACCCCACGGGTGCACCACGCCAACACCCAGCTTCCCTTGCAGGCTCTGTAGACAGGCCCGCTGCTCTGTGGACGCCGCCCACACATAGGGACAGTCGCCAGTGACAGAACAACCACCAGCTCCGCCGTTCCGGGCATTGCATGCGCATTCTCTCATTCCCTCCCCGACGGCCCCATGACGAAGGTACTATCGTTAGCCCACTTTGACAGATAATAGCAACCGAGGCGGGCTTGCCGAAATCTGGCGGCGAACCAGGAGGAGGCCCAGAGAAAGGCCGCACTTCTCTCCAGGTGAGGACCTCCCTTGGAGGCCAGCAAGGCCGTCCTCCTCTGAGGAGGGGCCCCGCGCCCCGCTGCCCTCCCCTTGCCAGCCATACGCCGCTCCGGCCACAGGCTGTCAGGCCGAACGCCAGCTGCTTCTGCCTTACATACATTCTTGCTCGACTGCACCTGGATTTCTTTTAGGATCGGCTTAACTCCGCTCCGGCCCGACGGCCCCTGGGCCTCTGCTGTGTTTACTGAAGAGGCACTAGCTCTCTGCGGCGGCCTCTCCCGCACCCAAATCCCGGGCCATCTGCCTGGCCGTGGGCACGGCCCCCGACAGCCGAACCCCAGCCAACACAGCTGGCCCTGCCCCAGAGCCACCGGGGCCACCGAGGCCGAGTCTCTCCATGCCATCACAGGCCAGGCGGGCCCAGGGCCACTCACCGTGGTCTCATCTTCATGGAGCACCTGGTCGTAGCCGCTGAGTGCGACGCAGAAGATAATGGCTGTGACGTCCTCGAAGCAGTGGATCCACTTCTTGCGTTCAGATCGCTGGCCCCCGACGTCGAACAGCCTGGGGGCGGGGGGGAGACAGGGAAGCTGTGAGGGGTGGGCGGTGGGGCCCAGGAAGGTGTGGGGGCGCCTGGCTCAGCCCCAAGCCTCCTGGGGAGCCCCGCCGCAGGCAGCGACGGGAGGACCGCTGCCGTCTGCCCCACGACCGGGCTGTGCTCACATGCCGGGGCTCGGACACCTGCCCTTGCAGCTCGAGAATCTTACACAGGGGGGCGCCTCGGCTGGTCCCCAGTAAACGCCTCCTCTCGGGGCAGCATGCACATCCTGTTCCCGGCCTTCCGCATGTGTCTGGTCACATCTGTGGTCCGGGCAAACCCCAGACCAGCCTGGGGGGTGTTGGGTGGGCCGGGGCCGGCAGCCATTACGTGGAGGGAATGGGAGACACCAAGGCGTGAAGGGCCCGTGGTCCTGGCAAGGGCTGGTACGGTAGAGCGAGGGTCTGACCCGGACCTGTCTGCAGACAAAGCCTCACCTCTGCTCCGTGCCACCCCTCTCTGGCAGATGGCTCCCTGCTTCTCCCCGTCCGGACACCACCCCCCAGGGCACACGAGGGCTGTGAGAGGAGACCATGGGCAGGTGGGACCACGTCCTGGAGGTAAGAGGTCGGACTCCTACCCTCATGCCCTGAGCAAAGACCTGCAGTCTCGTGGGCCTCGGCTCTGACCCGGTGTGCACGGGGACCCCAGGCCCTCCTGACAGGACAACCACTGTGCGCAGAGGCCAGTAAGCTCCGGCCAAGGAAGCAGGTCGGGTTCCCGTCCTACCGCCGCCTCCCATGGGTCCTGCTTCCGCATCTGAAATACAGGGGCATGGCCCCTGTCCTCTGTGACCCTCCACAATGCTTATTCTCACACTCTGCCTGCTGGCCCCTCCCCATGTCCAGAGGTGCAGGCTGAAGACACTGAGGAGGCCAGAAGGCGAGAGACACCTTGTGCGGCCGCGCAGCCCATTGCTGCACTCCCCAGGTTCAGGGGAGGCTCCTGTGTCCAGGGCTGCCTGCTGGGTCCAGGGCCCCCGAGAGAGACCCTGAGCCCCCTCAGTCTGTGTGAGAGCAGGCCGGGGCTACAAAGGCTGTGTGGGATCCAGCCCTCCCAGGCAGGGCAGGGGGCCACAAAGCAGGGCCTCACACCGGTCTACCGGCCTGTGGTCCCTGCCCTCCTGGCCTCTCCTTCTGCTCCGCAGACACCCAGAAACCACATCTGGAAGGTAGGAGGGGGCAGGACAGGGACTCTTAGGCCTCAGTACAGGGAGGTTAGCCCAGGTGGGGACACAACTCGCCAGGAAGGCGTGAGCAGTCCAGCTTCCTGCCTCAGGCTTCTGTTCTGAGGTGCTCTGAGCATCCAGACTTGAGTTGTGCTCTGTGCTTGGGGACAGCCTGGCTCCTCCCAGGCCTCAGTTTCCCCACATGTACCTAGAGGCGGTGGGTCAGCTGATCTCTAAGCCCCCTCCAGCTCTGAGATTATCTGGGGCCTTGGGGTCTCACAGACACTGCTTGGGCTTATCCATCCTCATTCCCTCCCCCTCCCACAAGGAGGCCTTCAAGGGGCCACGGGGGGATTTGCCCTCCTCCTCCTCAGAAGTCACCCAGGGACAGGACTCCCCTCCTTTGTCCACTCAAATCCTCCCTGTTCCTTGGAGACCCGCTCCAGGATGCCTCTTCAAAGAAGACTCCTTGGTCGTCCTGGCCCCTGAGCTTGGTGGAAAACAGACACACAGACAGGTCCCTTCTTGTATCTAACTCCCTGTCCCAACTGGAGAGCTCCCTAAGGCGGACAAGATGAGGCCGAGAGGCTGGTGTCTCCCATCTGTCACAGTGCCCTCGCCAGGGTACGGGAGGCTCCCCGGGCCTCACCTGAAGTGGAGGTTCTTGAATGTGAAGTGGGTTTCTACGATGCCAGTGGTTTTGACCCTGGTTCGGAGTATATCCTGCTCGGTGGGCTGGTAGTCGGCGGCCCCAATCCGATCCAGGCTGTCCAGGTAGCTGGGGAGGGCAACACACAGGGGCCCTGGAACAAGCCAGCCCGGCCCCGGGCAGCGCCCCCTGGGGGCCGACCATGGAAGCAATGGCGCCACCTCATCCCCTGCCCGGAGTTGGGGGCAGAGAGTGGGGGGTGCCGACTGAGGAGCAGAAGCCTATGTCCTGCCCGCACATTCTCAAAGAGCCTCTAACCCAGACCAAGGGCTGTGTGCACAGTTCCAGGGGCGGTGCATTTAAAGAAGGTCAAACTCTTACACGAGATTAACATGTTTGTAACACTGCCGTGCCATGTCTTCATCTTAAAATAGTGGCCAAGAGTTACATTTGACTCTTCGCACGTGTGATCATGTTTCAACCTTAACTGCCCTGAATTATATGTACCATTTTATAGATTAGACAACTGAGGGTCAACAATGGTAAGGACCTTGGTCAGCTGTGAGCCAGGGCTCGAACCTAGACATCTGGTCCACCCCTTAACAGTACTCTCCGGTGCTTCCCGGAGGCCTCTGGGCATCCGCCCGTCTTTCCAGACTTGCTGAGTCTACCGGGGCGTTGGCCCCATCTTCCCATCTGATGCCCTTGGAAGAGAGGCTCAGAGGTGAGGCCAGGCAGGGGCTGGGACCCACGTCTTTGGCATCAGGGCTCTCTTTTCACATCAGTACTGGCTGATGACCATGTCCTTGCACTTTACCCATCCAGGCCAGGCACCCCAAGAAGGGCTTTGGGGGTCTGTATGGGTTAGGTCTGAACCCAAAGTGAGGGTGGGATCTGGAAAACCAGGAAGGAGGGAGGTGGGCCAGGCCTGAAGGAGGGTTCGGTGACCCACAGGGCTGGCTGGACCTCCTACCCCTCATGTGGGGTTCTACCACACACAGCCCACAGGACAGGAGCCCCGAGGGTCCAAGCCCCAGGACAGTGTGGGGTCCCAGGTTGTGTGTGGAGCAGCTGCCCTTCGTTAGCACTAGCCCTGGGACATGTGGGGGTCGGTTCCTCAGCTTGAGGATGCCGTGGGGCTGGAGGGCAGGGGACACGTTCACCAATGAGGGTTTCCACTGGTAAACCAATAATCCAGGCCCACCTCAAATCCTTGTGAGGATTTTCCCTAAAAAAATAAGACTGAATGAGGGATTCCCAGGGGCAGGAGGCGTAAGCTTGAAGTCACACTGTTAGAAAAGGGACCCTGCTAAGATTTGAGCCAGGGTGTGCCGGACTCCAGATACCATGCTCTTACACAGGCCTCCTCTGAGGAAGGAGGGGAGCAGGGGCAGCAGAGTGGACCCGGGGCTCTGGCTGCCTCAGCGTCTCCTGGCTAGGCCCCTGGGGGTGTCTGGGCTCTGGGCTCAGCCTGGAGGAGCCCCTCCCAGCCCTTCCCAATCCTCCTAACCCCTCTGGGCGTGACCCCTCGTAACCCCCTCCCACTGCTTCTGCTTAGGAGCCCTGCTGGTTTTGAAATGACCCTCGTTCTGTTGTCTCCAGCTGGACACCAGGACTGGGGAGCCTCTGGTCTTGGGCACCCCCCTCTCCCGGGCCCAGCTGGGGAAACCTCCTTTAGACAGAAAATCTGGCCCTCTGTCTCCCTGTGCTGGCTGAGCATGGCCAAGGGAGGGGAGGGTGAGCAAGTGGAGGGGCGCCTACTGGATGTACAACCTCCCCTTTGTCCCGGGTGCTGGGGTGAGGCAACGAGCACGGCCGGTACAGTCCCTACCTCTCCAGAGCCTACATCTGTGGTGTGCGTGTGCGTGCGCGTGCGCATGTGTGTGTGAGATAATTAACAGTCAAGTAAGATCTAGAACATGTCAGGAGGAAAGACTGTAAGCAGGAAAGTTGGTAAGCAGGAGGCCTGAGCAGGGTTGCTCTTGGACAGAGGGGAGCTGGGGAGGGCAGGATGACACTGGAGTGGAGGCTGAGGGGTGCTGGGGTGAGCTTCTCTCCTTGCGGGTGCAGAGGCCATCCTGCAGTGGTGGGGGAGCCTGGGATGCAGGCCCTGGACAGGGGTGGCATGGTGGGAAGCACCCGTCTGTGGCAGGAGGAGGGAGCCGTGGGACTGGAGTAGGGTGATGGAGGCAAGGGTGGGGCGCAGCTTGTAGGCACTTGGGCTTTCACGCTGAGTGAGATGGGAAGCTTCTGGAAGGTTCTGATGAAGAGTGTGGGAACAACGACTCTGCTGCTATAAGGAGAACAGACCAGAGGGAGGATAGGGACACCTGTTGGGAGGTTGCTGCACCCCTGCAGGGGAGAGGCAACGGCAGGTCAGGGCGCCCCACACTGGCAGCTGTGCTGGGGCCTGGGGGAGGCGGGACGTGGGAGGTAGAGCCCATTAAAGCCACCTCCTCGTGTGTATCACGAAGCTGCTCTTAGTGGGAGGAAGAGCGGGGGCAGAGCAGGTTTGGGGGAGGGTGGGAGCCGGGAGTCAGGTGGCATGTATTAATTTGAGATGTGCTGAGATGTCCGAATGGACCCGGAGGAGGCAGAACTCAGGAGGGAGGGCGGGGCTGGCCCCAGACAAGTGACAGTTGTCCGGGTGTGTGAGGAATTGAGGGAGACGAGGCTGGAGAAGCTCACCCAGGCCCTCAGCGTGGGCTGGAGGAGGTTCAAGGGCTCCAGAGAGGGCACAGGCAGGAAGTGGGGAGGGGTGTGTCCATGGGGTTGCCTCAAGGAGGGGTTGAGGGCCTGAGCACTCTCAGTGGGGTGCAGGAACAAAGCCTTGAGGGGTGGGCTCCAGAGAGAGGGCAGGAGAAAAAACAGTCCTAACCAGACCATGAACTAGCTTGTAAAGCCCCTGCCTGGACGTGCTCAGGTTTCTGGGAGCCTGGGGCTTGTCTCAGCATCATCCAGAGGAGTGAGGGGACAGCCAACCCTGTCCACAGAGGCCTGGGTGCAGGGAGCCTGGCAGCACTGGTCACCTCCCTGTCCCCTCGGGGCCCTGGTGTCCTTACCTGTCAAGTGAGGGGATCGGGCTGGAGGACCTGGTGAAGGGCTTTGGGCCTCGGAGCGACTCACACCATCCCCCTGGAATTGGGCCCCGAGACAGCCCTATGGGGCTCCCTCTCTCTCTCTGTCACAACAAATCCGCTGTTAACTATTTTGTATATCGCACCCAGGATTCTGTCAGAAAAGGGGATCCGGCTGCTAAAACCAGGATCGTAAAGCCACCCTGGACCAGGAAGGGTTTAAGGTCCTTCTTTACCTGACCGCTGTGGGTTCCGCCCTTGCCTGCCCCGGACCCTGTCCCAGAGACAAACACACAGAGAGAAGGAGCCGGGTTTCCTCAGCTGACTTGGTGGGGAGTTGACAAATACTGACTCAAATTTCTTATTGAAAGTTACAAAGGGGGGCGCCTGGGTGGCTCAGTCGTTAAGTGTCTCCCTTCGACTCGGGTCATGGTCCCAGGGTCCTGGGATCGAGCCCCGCATCGGGCTCCCTGTTCGGCGGGAAGGCTGCTTCTCCCTCTCCCACTCCCCCTGCTTGTGTTCCCTCTCTTGCTGTGTCTCTCTCTGTCAAGTAAATAAATAAAATCTTAAAAAAAAAAAAAAAGAAAGTTATAAAGGTAACCACCAGAAGAACCACAAGTAATTCCCTAACTAGCAAGAAACTGGTCGTGGAAGTGGGGCAGAGATATGGGAGGTGGGCAGGTGAGCTGAACTCCTCCGATTCCATCCTGGAGGCCACTAAATGCTATGGCAGGTTGGAGGGTCAGGTTTTCCTGGACAACACTGGGACGGAGAAATGGAAATAGTTAGAAGTTGGAGGGGGACAGCCCTGGGAGAAGGAGTTTACTATTAATTTTATACCTCTCTGGAGTGTTAGAAATTTTTTTTTGCAATGTATTCATGTTATAATTAAACGGCGAGCACAATTTGATGGCTCAAGGGGAGTGAGGGGATGGGAAGGCCCTGGACTGTGGCCCAGCAGGGGCAGGGGAGCTGGTCGCCACCCAAACAGCTCCAGGGGACGACCTGGGTCTGTTGGAGGAGTGATTTGAGCGTGCACCGGCAGCTGTGGGCACAAACCCCCTGGGCTCACACCCCTGCCCACTGAGGTGTCCCAGGTGGCTCATCAGGGCCCGGGGCCCGGCTCACTACCACCTGGGACTCCCGGGACCTAGGGCTCACCAGCTAGACAGTCTAGGTGTACAGAATGGGAAGATGCTCTGGCCTTACTCAAGTCCCTAGTTTGGTAGCTGTCATCGTGGCCGACGGAAACGGCCCAATGTCCCTGAGCAAGTGCAATTTTCTGGGCCCTCGCCTCTGCTACACCACCAAGGTGTAGGCCAGGGTTTCTCAGGCTCAACGTGAGAAAGCTCAGGGTTTCTTTTGGCCCAGATGATTCCTTGCTACGGAGGGCCATCTTATGCACTATAGGATGTTCAGCCGCATGCCTGGCCTCTGTCCACTAGATGCCAAGTACCACCGTCCAAGTCGGGACAATCAAGCATGTCTCCAGACTTTGCCAAATGTCTCCTGGGGGCAGAGTGGTCCCCGCAGAGCAGAAGGGGCGAGGATGGCTGAATCAGATCGGTGGCAGAGCACACACGTCCTAAGACTGTGGGTTTAAGCCCAGAGGCTCCCACTGACAATCCAGGCACAAGACTGCAAAAGTGGGGTGTGGTCCCAATGTCTCCAGGACAGAAGACATGTGCGCAGACAGCGTGGACCATTCCCAGGGGCGTAGAGCCCCGATCTAGGGAACAAGGGCATGTAACCTTAGGGACGCCTGAAGTGACGACCTGCTGTCACCGGAAGAGCACCCACGGGCCACCCTCTCCGCCTCTCCCTTTGTCCCCCTTTCAGCCCTCTCTAGCTTCCACCAAGCCTCTTCCCTCGCCTTCACTCCCCTCTCTCTCCTCTCTCCTTTCCTTCCCCGTGTTTGGTTATAAGGCACTATCAAAGGATATGTTCGATTATCTCATTTCCTTAGCCTTATTTAAAATATTCCAAGATAGAGGAATGGAACATGTGTCTCCTCTAAAATGAAACAAAATGAAACAAAAATGGCATCATGTTGACTATTTTCTGCCTATATGGCTCTTGATTTGTACTTGTGGGGTCAGGGCTTCTCCAGAAGGAAAAAGCTGTTGGACTAAAGACCTTCCTTCTGGAGTGCCAGGCCCTGTCCAGGGCAAGGTGGTGACAGGCCCCGCGCCCTGGGAGCCCTGCTATTAGCTGTCTCTTGAGGGCTCTGGCTCCCGGGCCCCCTCCTTACCCAGGGGGTGCGAGGAGAAGCCCTTCCGCTCTCCTTCCCGACACCTTTCCTGCCGCCCGTGGCAGTTCTGACCTCCGCCGAGGACCCCTCCCTGCGCGCCCGCTCCCTCCACGCTGGCCTCTGTGCCCTGCTGGTGGCCGCCCCGAGACACTCACTATTTGGCAGAATCGTTGAGCTGATACTCCCGAGACCTGTTGAAGCACTCCTGGATTCCTGAGTCGCCCCAGAGCCGCATCATGGCAGAAAGCAGTTCGGCAGAGAAGGGCTCGGTGTCTTCCATCCGACTCACCACGTCACACACCATCTTGGCGTCAGCCTGTGAGGGGACGGGGGGGCGACTTTGAGGCACCGGGACAGCGGCTCAGCCCTCAGCCTGCTCAGGAGGAGCGGGCCACTAGACAGGGTGCACACAGTCTGGGGGGCGAGGGCCGTCAGGGCCTGCGTTCCAACGCAGCAGTGCCAACCATGTCCCGTGTAACCTGAGCGTCTCCTGCGGGCAGGAGGGGAGCGGACAGGGCTCTGTTCTCCACCCGCCAGCTCAACCAGGGCAGCCCTGCTTTCACCTAGTTCAAAACCTGGGGTTTTGCAGAGTATTTGTTTTTTTGGGGAAAAAAAAAATCATTGTTCTTGACTAATGTAATTTTCCTCTACTTCTTAGCCAGGTAGAACAAAGTCCCTGGAATTGGGCAAATCAGGGAGAGGGACATTTTGGTTACTTGAGAATTCCAGGTAGCTGAGGGACTGGGCCCCAGGGGAGCTGTGCCCTTGGGGGAAGGGGCATGAAGACGCTGGTTGTCCAGTTATGTCAATATTCAATATCAAGAGCTTAGGCCCTTGGCTGGCCCAAAGTTAAAACTCATTTTTTTTTTTTTTAAAGATTTTATTTCTTTGTTTGGGTGGGGGGAGCAGAGGGTGAGAAAGCAGACTCCGCACTGAGCAAGGAGCCTGACACAGGGCTCAATCTCATGACCCTGAGATCATGACCCGAGCTGAAACCAAGAGTCGGCCGCTTAACCGATTGAGCCACCCAGGCACCCCCAAAACTTAATTTTATTAATTTTTAGTTACTTATTTGCCTTTGACCTGTGGCCTACCTCTCCCCGGGGGCCAGGGATGTCCAGACCCAGTTAAACAAGGGAAGGGTTGAAGGGTGAATAAAGAGACAGGGAGGGACGCCTGGGTGGCTCAGTTGGTTAAGCATCTGCCTTCGGCCCAGGTCATGATCCCAGGGTCCTGGGATCGAGCCCCACGTTGGGCTCCTTGCTCAGCAGGGAGCCTGCTTCTCCCTCTCCCTCTGCCTGCCACTCCACCTGCTTGTGCTCTCCCTCTATCTCTATCAAAGAAATCAATAAAATCTTCATTTAAAAAAAAAGAGAGAGAGAGAGATAGGGAGTTTGCCTTTCTCTGCCCCCTCCCCTTCCTCCTTTGTCTGAGGGGCTGCGATTTGCCCAAGGTGCACCATGGAGGCTGAGACCCTGTTGGACTTGCATAAACGGTATGGCACAATGAACAGGTGTCTTCTGCCTTCCCTTCCTCTGGGAACCAAGCAGGGTCACCGTTCTCAGAGACGATGGATCACGTACATGTACCCCCCAAACCGGGAAGGCAGTGGTCTCTGAAGACGCAGAGGCTCTTGGAGCAGTCACAGGGCCTCCCCCGTGCCAGCACCTTGCACACATGCAGCACTTCACGGCCTACAAAGCACACGCGCGCGCGCGCACGCACGCACACACACACACACACACACACCTCATGGAGGGGCGGTGGGAGACTGCATTAGTCTCTCTCTCCGCCCCTGCCTGGCTCTCCGCCTCTGTCTGAGTCCATGCCCTTTGCCTCATGTCTCTGCAGTTCCTGCCCCCTGGATGCAGAACACAGTTCCTCTGTCCTTGACTGTGAGTGGCTGTGAGCCCTGCTCCGGCCCATATAAGGATGTGGAAATTCCCCAGCCAGCCCTTCCGAGGCCTTGCAGAGCCTCGCTTGTCCTGCTGGGTGCCCCCCATCATCATGAACACACCCGGGCTCCCCCGTTCATCCCAGCAAGAGGATGAGGGACGCACGGAGCACAACGGAGCCACCCTGGGTCTCTGATCCCCAGCTGAACTCCTGCCCCACGAAAAGAAATAATTGCTGTTGCAAGTGACCGAGTTAGGGGAGTTTGTTAGTACTGTTGTGGCCATCACTAACTGGCACGGTAGTCACTGTGTTACCATCCCCATTTTACAGGTCAGGAAACTGAGGGCCCGAGAGAGGAAGGCACTCGCCTATGCTCACAGGTGGGAAGTGCCAGAGCTGGGACTCGACATCAGGAGGCTCCGACCCCAAGGCCAGCCTCTGGGATAAAGACCCACAGTGCTGAGAGCAGCTCCCAACTGCAGCACCTGGATGGCCGACAGGGCCTGACGCAGGGCCCACAGCAAGGGCGACAGGCGTTAGCCACAGAGTCTGTGCTCCATTTGAGAGGACTGCTGCTTTTCACGTCGAGATTGGAGCAGGAGATGCTGCGGAGCCCCATTCACACCTGGGCGCCTGTCTCGCTGGTCTCAGTGGGTTCCTGAAGAGGGCCCGGCTCCCCGGCTTTGCCTCGGGGGCACTCTGCTCCCGGGCGGCAGGCTGCGTGGTTTGGGAGTTAGCGTTCGGGACTGATAGGAGTCGGCGGGCGCACAGCCGGGCTTCCTCGCCCTCACGGGGAGGTGATCCTGAGACGCGTCTGCCAGGCTTTCAGAGGATGCCCGGGGTCCCGAGCCCTGGCTGCCCCAAGCCCCAATCCCTGCCCCCTGCCCCGCACGACATCCTCTCTCCTTGTGTTTCCCTCTCTTCCCTGTGTCACTTCCCCTGAGATGACCTCCCCAATAAACTCCTGGTCTCAGGGTCAACTTCTCGAGGAATCCAAATCAGGACAAGAAGGTGCCCGTCTGAGCCCAAGCCCCGGGCAAAGCTTACCTGCCGAGTCTTCGCACGTTTCTCCCGTGAGAGGGCCTGCCTCAGATCATTCTCCCGACCGCCCCGTGCGGCCCCTCAGCACAATACCCCGGAGGGCTCTGAAGAACAGGTCTGCCTCGTGGCCCCAGGGGGACGTCCCCGTGGCAGGGCAAGAGGTGTGGCTGGGAGAGGGCCAGGCAAGGAACCGGCGGCACGCTGGCCCCTTTGTGTTCACAAGCGCACAGTCCCGCGGGGCCCAGCCCAGCTTCCGCAGTGCAGGGCAGGGGGCTGGGGTGGGGGGCAGGTGTGCGAAGCTAAGGTAAGGAAGCCGTGAGGTGGCCGGCGGGCAAACGCCCTACTCTGGGCCGGCTATGTGCTTCCCTTGGGATTCTTCAGTAGGGTCAGCCTGAGAGGATGTGCCCCCAGAGTCAGCGGTATCACTAAGACCCCTGTCCCACTCCCGGGGAAGCCCCTAAGAATGAAGCTACCAGAAAGCAGCAGGAAAGCACTACCGTGTTCAGGCCCCCGACAAGACACGGGGCACTGGGAGAGGCAGGTCCAGGGAGCTGAGTGGGTGCAGGGCAGAGTGGGCCCCGCGGCAGCCACCTGGGCTGAGCAGTTGGTGTCAGCGTTCCGGGGACCCCTCCTCCAGCTGCCTTTCCCCCATTTTCAGCGTGCACGGGTTGGAGCCCCCCGTGGGGCTGAGCCCTTGCTGGGGGTTGGGAGCGGGGTGCCCCAGGCCTGCCATATCCCTGACCTCTCGGGTCCTCTGGTGTCGGGTCTTCATCACTAGCTGATCACTCTACCCTCAAGCCCTTCCAAGCCCCAGTCCTCTGACTGAGCTAGAGGAAACACAGACTACTTCACCCGTGTCAGGTGATTCAAGAAGTGAGGGAAATTGCTGGAAATCTGCAGGTGTTCCTTGGGTGGGGAGAGACACAACGGAAATGAGGTTTAGTACCTGGGCACTCGGTGGCTGACAAAAGATTCTATACGAAAGGGAAGTGGGGCCAAAGCCTTCTGTGGAGACTTCCCGGCACTGAGCTGTCCGGCTAGGTAGCTGTTTACGCGTCAGAGGCCCGTCTACTGCGGAAAGTGGGTGGGCAAGTTTGGCGGCTATCTACCTGGGGCAGAGAGCTACAACGGGCTTGGAGGCTAGCAGGCCAAGCCCGCAGTGCCGGCCAGCCCAGATCCACCTCCCTCGGGGTACTGTCCCAAAGATCCCGAGCCACCCACAGCTGACACGGAGGGCTGCCCACCAAGACAGGATGGCTTCCCAGCTTCTGAAACGTGCTGGAGATGAGTTTCTGCAGCATCTGAGCCTCCCCTGGGCCACGGGCGTGGAAAGCTGGCCCCGGGGCCTGGGTGATGGGTGCCCTAGGCAGGCAGTGACTCAGGCAGGGTGGGTGAGCAGGGGTGCTGCCTCCACCTGGGGCTAAAAACAGGCCTATGAATCAGGGGCCTACATGCTGACGCTGCTCTCGAGTGCCTGGGTGACCTTGGGAGACCTCGGTCTTCCTCAGCTCTCCCTCCGGGTGCCTGCTCTCTGTCCGATCTGTGGCCTGCGGCTGGTGAACCTGGCCAGAGCTTTCCCAACTTCCCCCTTTGGGCCCCACCTTCCTGGTTTCTGCCAGGTCTGTCAGAAGGGAGTTGGGAAGGGGGTGAGGGTGGGAGACACCCTCTGATCGGAGCGCCTTGGAGCCATACCACGCCTCCCAGCCAGGGGTGGTTTACAAACCACAGCCACTCTCACCGCCTTTGTTGGTCTCCCCACCTGTGTCCCGGAATTCCAGCAGGATGACTGCACAGCTTGGGGAAGGCTGGGAAGAGCTCTCCTGCTGGGAATTCTCCGGGGGACAACCCAGGGGCTGGAGCTGTCCTCCCAGCTTCCTCCAACCCCCAAGGTGCAGCGGTGCTGGGGGTCCTGTGCCGGCAGCGACTCCCCCCGCCGCCTCCCCCAGCTGCCCTTGCTGTTCCTGTCCGGTCTCCCCCAGCCCAGCGTCTGGCACCCCCACTAGCCCAGCTGCTCAGACGCAGACTAGGCGCCGTCCTTGGTTCTGCTGCTTCCCTTCCATGTCCGGGGTCCTGCTGGATTTTCCGTCAAAGCTGTTTGCAGTCAGACCACTTCTCCCCATCTTCTCACACGTCTCCCCGGGGCCAAGCCAGCACCGTCTTTCTCCTGGCTGCCCTCAGTCCCCCTCCCAAGGGCTCCCTCCCTCCCTTGCTTCTCTCTCGTCTGTTCCTCGCACGCTAGCCAGTAGGAGACTGTGAGTGTGACATCCATTCTCCCTTAGAAAAAGAACTGAGCACACTGACATCCACATAAAAGACCGCAATTCCTAACTCTGCTTGCTGCTAGGTGTGGCCAAGTGACAGGCTCCACCCAATGAGAGG